TTGTGCTACTCATCTACTGCGTATTTCGCAACTTCGTTTAACCAAATTACCCAGACCATGGCGCGTTTTTGGGAAACTAAAATAATTGGACATATTGACATAATAACGATATAATAATAGGTTTGACATTTTTCCGCTTTTGTTTTTTTTTCCTTTAGCCGTTTGAAATGATAGTAAAGGTACTAAGTAATGGACAGGTCAAAACAAAAATATTATACCGTAGAATTGTTACAACTTATAAAACTATTACAGCATAATATTTCACGGCCCACGTTTTAATAATAAATTAGATAATATTATATTGTTTCTACACAGCAATGTACCTATATTGCCTACACATTGCGCCACGTTGCATTGTCGGAACACAGTTGACTTAATTTGATCACCATTATATTTTATAAGGAATGGTTATCGGTTTAACACAGCGCTGTTCGTTCAAGGAGTATTAAAATCTCAAAGAATTTCGTTTCTGATTTACAACCAAAATAATAAAATTGCAACTAAAAAACCAAAATCGATTTTGTACGACAAGAGTTTACTGCCACTACTAGGAATATTCATCGAATTTCGTTTTGTCGGATTATCCTCACTGTATATTTAAATGAATAAAAATAAACATCTAAATAACGAAATATTCAATCTGAAAAGTAGCATTAAAAGAAACCTCAGATGATTATAGACTAGTAGACTGTATTCGTATTTATCTTTTGTATTTATAAAATATGTCTCGAATGATTAATTAACGAACAGCCAAAACTATGATAAGCTATATGGATCACCAAAAAAGTTTTTTTTAAAATTGGTATCTTAAAAAATATGGTCTTACAAGGATTTTGTTTCGCGCAATAGAAATGGAATTTTTTTTGCATACATACATTATGGTTGCCCATAATTAAAGTAAACAAAATCATAAATTGTAAAAACCCGTGGATATTGTCCATATTTATAAACTTTGTAGAGTGAAAAAATAAAATGAAGTGGAATATGATCCTAATATAATGTAAGTCTTAAAATTAATGTTTTCGTTGAATCAGTATTAATTTTATGTAGAATTATATAATTGTATAAGAACACACTACCACAAATCAAAAATATAGATTTCTAAACCTAAAAACTGTATCAATAATATATATACAGTATTACTCGTTTAAGACGCTCTTTAAGGAACCAGTTCTCTAGAGCGTTTTAAGCGGAAAAGCGTCTTATGCGGGAATGAAAATAATGAAGTGATTGGATAAGGAGTTAAATTTTTTATTATTGAACATAATTTAATCGGCAATACACTAATAAATTAACTATAATTACATACATATATAAATTTTTTGCTACTGACTTTAATTTAAAAAAAAATTATTACTACATATTTTATCATTGTTCATTAAAAAAAATGATCTATTTTTGTTTGTATACGATTCTGACAATGAGTTTCAGCAAGAAAGTTTTATATTTTGTTAAGACAACCCTACATTTCTTTTGAATTTTTTACAGAGAATAATACTTTACGAATTTCTGATAGGTGTTGCAAAGCAGCAGTAATTGTAGGAGTAGATATACTGGATCGTCTTGATCATCTACTTGATTGTCGTCTTCTTTCTCACTCTCCACTAAGCTCGTATCAGCGATTATTTCACCTAAAGTCTGAATGCTACTGGTTACGAGTTTGTCATCTACTGTTGCATAATCAGCAAAATTTTACAGTAGCTGAAATAGTCCTTTTCTTTTAAAGGTGAGCTAATAACAGCCAGTTCAGAGTCGTTCAACACACAAAATCCAGCTTTCCGAAAACAATTTATTATTACATCTGATTTAATTTCATTCCAAGCTGCACTAACGTAATGTATGAAGTCCAAAACATTAACTTTAGTTGAAATTCGGTTGGTACTCTCCATGTTTATCGAGTATTGCTGGACTAATTTTTTTCGGTAAAAGGATAAACTGATCTAGGAGTGTTAACTTAGTTACTTAGATGCAGTAGCAGTATTCGGTGGCAAGAAAACAAGTTTAACATTGGTAGTAGGGATGTACACAAAGCAATATATTTTCACAAAACTACAAAAATTCGGTTAACCTACTGTATAGTACTAATTCCTAAAAGTAAAATAAATTACTGAAATCATAACAACAACATCATCATAGGCTGACTGACCACGCGTCTACGCTCAGAATAGTTTTCCATATACAATGACTTGATATCATTGAATTCAAATTCAAGAGCATTCATGACAGTGACCCACTTGGCATTTGTGACCTATTGTACAACAGAGCGACATCTCCTTATGAGCTTTTTGGTAAGCAAATATGGTTTATTTTTTTTAGAATATTATATTATTTAGCTAATATGCTTATTGTAACCATTATTATAGATTGTATATTTTTAATAAATAAAAAAAAATATATTATATTAATTTTAAACTATATATTATCACCGATTTCATAATATTGTATTGGCAAGTAATATTATTAATTATAAAATATAAATACACTTTGTTTATATTTAATAGACTTTATAAGCCATTAGGTAAATCCACAGATAAACATTGACATAAACGTCTTGGTCGTATAATCAAAACTTTTGTTTTTATTTTTAAAATTTGAAATTAATGCATATATAATAGTATTTAATAGAGTTCCTGAAATTTTAAACTCGATTATGACCAGCCTTGGAATTTGTTCAATAGTGATCATTGATCAATAATTGTGTAAAAAGTTTGCAGATTTGAAATCTTGACTTCAACAATCTAAATCACTTAACAATGTGGTATAATTCTGATAACCTGCTAGGTTTTATTGATCAAAACAATTTATAAATAGTGATTTTTTTTGTAACTATTTGCTACTAAGTAGCTGACTAAAATCTAACTATACTGGCCACAATACAAACCAAAAACAAAAAAAACAATGCTGCTAATGTTTAATATTCGCAGTACAAACAGATTGTTGTTATTATAGTTCGTTAGTGTATCAGTATATGTTTAGCTCGTCCCCGCGGCACATGTACCAAGACACTTCAAGAAAAAGAACGATTACTAAGTTTGATTCTTTACATTTTTGTTATACTAAATGGCACAGAAGATGAACGCCAAGTCGTTGGACAATGCCAATGAGCAACAGTCCGTGATGGTTGGCTCACTGCAAGATTTGGCATTCGATGGTGAGATGACGAAAGTCGGTTCCCAGTTGCGGCGTGCCACGTCATCACCGGAGCTCAGGACCGAATCGCCAACTTTTCATCACGTCGTAGCTGAGACCGACCCGTCGCCGGTGCCAACCTATCACGAGACTGCGGAGTTGGACGGCGCCGACGTGGCCATTTCAACATTCTTGCAACTTGATCACCGTTATTTATCCATCGAAGCGTTGGACTTGGCCGTAGACCGGAGAATCAAAGCTGTCTCCGAGCCACCACTACGACGCACACTTGTTAGAAATTTCCAGTCGTCGCCGGAGCTAAGGCTTCTGTCTCCGGTGTATGGCGGATTGAATACCGTCCCGTGCGTGTCAGAAGAAGTCCCAAGTAAACCAACACGAAGATCGCTTTGGAAGAGGTCCAAAAAATGCTTGTGGAAATCATTGGTGAATGTTGCTCGCAGAATATGTTTCTGCCATAGTTTTGTAGACGTGGAGTAATTTCATCAACTTTGACCTTCACCCCACACTCATGTATTACCAGTTACCACAATCAACCACCCGCCAATCTGTAGTATTTGGCGTACCATTGGACGTGTCAGGCCGGTCGAAACGCACCACCTGCATGCTGTGATACGTCCTACTCCGTTTGTCAAGTTTATCGTCTTACAAGTCGACGTCTTATGACGTTCTATTCTGGTACTGCAAAAACTGCAGGTTGGCGGCGGCTGACCGTGGTAACTACTAACTAGTAACTGGTAACACGAGCGTGAGGGGAGAATTTTTTTTCCATGTCTACAAAATAAACAAATTATGCATGCAGCGTTCAACAAGCTCTTTCACACATTTTTTTAACTTCTTCAAAACGAGCAATTTTAAGCGGAATTTCTGTTGGCACCGACAGAACAGCCTTCACTCAGCTATATACACTGCGGGTGAGAGATCTTCAGCTCTGCAGGTGACAACTGGAATAACTGCAAGTTCGTTCCGTAACAGTGGCACCTCGGACATCTGTAATTTTGCGGTCCACGGCTCAATCCTAGTGCATCGATCAACATCAAGCGGTGATAAGGTTGCAAGGATTTCGGCTTGTCAGTTTGGATGCCATCCTCATCTCTGCAGTCAAGTTAATGAATGAGGCACTGGTCGATCTTTACTACACCGCCCAGTGAGACATTTTCTAAGCTCTGTCGATGACTGTGTACACTTGGAACGTCCACGCCGCCACGGTGACCTGACAGCCGTGATCATCATCTGCCGAATATCTAGCGTGCAACTCAAGAACGACCATTTTTTGGAGTACCATTGAGCGTGCCAGGCCTATTGAAACACGCCACACCTGTTGTGTAAAATACCTATTTTAATAAAGCTATATCGTTTTTATTAATTTAATTTTAAACTATTAGTTTTAAACAAAAAATAAATCCATGTAATATGCCTATAATAAATGTATAACATACCGTATTCTGATACCTTTTTATTTTATAAAAATATTCATTGGTATTCCTTAAATCAAAATATCGGGCATACTCAGAAAAAAAATGTCTACTGGTTAATCTTTAGAAATTAGAAATTTACGGACCTCGGTTAATTCAACGTCCAACTGATATAACAATTCCTATAATTGTATTTAGATTTGTATTTTTTACTTTTGAAATGCATTTGCTTATTTTTCAAGTCACAGAACTGAGAACGGTTCAGCTTCAGTGGTTGCCACTTGGCACGAATTGCCAGCTATTGTTCTGTGGATATAGGTACCTTCACGGTGGATTGATCAATCCACCTTAGGCACTTCATTTGTGATGGACGGTGCTCGCCAACCAGAAACAGCCATTTATCACCAGACACGTGGACTATTCCGTTATCAGTGAAGCAGTGATAGACGGCTCGGTGCCGACTTGTCATTTTCGGTTGTCGCGTCCGCTGAAAACGGTACAACATAACAAAAACGTATTACTATAAATATTAAACAAAATATCAAGTGCTCCGGCGTAGCCGCGTAGATAGGTACCACAGCAGTGCTTACTAGCCGGAAGTCGTCTCCCGTGCCTCTCGAAGTACCCGGCACCCTGCGGCGGACGAACCATGGACATCCGGGCTAAGTTCACCGTCTGCGCTGCCGGCATATTCGTGTGCTATTTCTTCTACGGGATACTCCAAGAGAAGATCACACGGGGCACGTACGGCACACAGGGTGAAAAGTTCACGTACTCGCTGTCGCTGGTGTTCGTGCAGTGCGTGGTCAACTATGCGTTTGCGCGGATCGTGCTCAAAGCGTTCCCCGAAGAAAGCCCCGACACGACGAATTCGGCGTACTACGCCGTCAGTGCGGTCACGTACTTGCTGGCCATGATCTTCAGCAACATGGCGCTACAATGGGTTAACTATCCCACTCAGGTCGGTCGATGAAATATTACAAGCACATTGCCAACCCTAGAATCTAGGTTGCCAAATGTATTTTGGAAGCGAGCTGTGATTTCCATTACATTTATTAGCTAGCAGGCCTATCTTATGAGCAAGACTCGCTTACACTTATGATTGTTCTATACATGGCATGACAACAACGATTCTAACGTTTTCTTTTACAGGTGGTGGCCAAGTCCGGAAAGCCCATACCGGTCATGATTCTGGGTGTGCTGTTGGGATGCAAGTCGTATCCGTTGAGGAAATATCTGTTTGTACTGCTTGTCGTCATTGGAGTAGCTTTGTTCATGTTCAAGGACGGCAAGTCTAATTCATCACAGTCAGATTCTTGTATGTTCATAATATTATACTCACCTTTACTAATCTATCATTAGATTTATTGTTTTTACATTTGCTAATGATTATGTTACATTGTTTACAGTGTTGGGTCTTGGGGAAATACTATTGATATTGTCATTGACAATGGACGGTGTAACTGGAGCTGTTCAAGAGAGAATGCGTAGTGAATCAAAGACAAAATCTGGGCATATGATGGTCAACATGAACTTGTGGTCAATGATATTTTTGAGCATTGCACTAATTGGCACTGGTCAAATATTTGACTTTATTAGTTTTGTACAGCGTTATCCACAAATAGTAGTACAACTACTGTTATTCTCAGCATTTAGTGCTCTTGGACAATTCTTTATATTTTGGACCGTAAGTGATTTTGGACCATTACCATGTTCAATCGTAACAACTACGAGAAAATTCTTTACTGTACTTGCATCAGTTATATTTTTTGGAAATCCAATGTTAACTAGACAATGGATTGCTACTATTATAGTATTTGTAGGATTATTCTTGGATAGTTTCTATGGTAAGCAACCTGTCAAAAGTAAATGATTTTAACATTCATTTATAATTGAAAGGTGCTTATTATATTTTATGTGTGATTGCTTTTGATAAAAGTATGTTGAATTAATTACAATAATATTGTATATTGCATTCATTTTAATAAAAAGAACACATTATATTTTTGAACTAAGTATTGAGAAATAGTTCTGTGATATGATAACTATATTTAATACAAAACAAATATTTTTTGAGTAATTGTGTTCATTATCTTATATCAATTAACTAAAACATTCACCAAAATATTATTGTTATTTTTACCCTCTTCCAAACCCGGGTTAAGAGTTTATCTGAATTATTTATTTAAAACATTCAATATAAATCCTATTTTATTTATTATCATATATTGTTAAAATTGTAAATTTTAAAATATACATACTTCAATCACAGAAATGTATGTGTTTATCATATATTTACTAGTTCTGTTGAAAATGACAGCTAAATATTATTTTCTATTCAGAATAAGAACAGACTGTGCTCAGGTATAGGATATGCGGCAGTTGAACAGTAGTGGTCTGTGGAGTGGGGTGGATGTGCAAACTAGTACTAGATTTTATATGCTATCCGGTGCGTTCTTATTCTGAACAGATTATAGTTCTCATTTTAGACCCATAATTTTTCTTAAGAATTAAAATGCATATTTACAGTCTGATTGTATTATGATATTCCCATAATGTAAATTTTTACTCAAGTAACATTTGATGTTAATTTTTTTTTTTACTCAATATAAATTAATATATTTATATTATAATTAATATATATATAGGTATATGTAACAGTGTACAAATATATATATATATATATAGTAAATAACTTTCTAGACTTGAACATTCCTTTAAAATAAAAAGCAACTAATATATTTTCATTATGTACAAACACAAAAAAAGTAAAATTTAATAATTAATTCTTGTTACTTATTAGTTATTAATAAAGCTGATAATGAGAACTTCATAAATGTAAATAATGACTTGATTTTTTTTTTAAATTCGTCCAACTATATTGTTATAACAAAATACTTTTGAATAAAACAAAATTTTATTTAATCTAGTGTTTCCTTGTTTATTATTAATTATTTTGTCAAGAAAATCACATTTATTTGAAAAATAACACTTGCGTGTTATAATATGTATTTCCTGATATCATGTTGTTGTAAATGACATAAGCAAAATATGCTTTACAGTTTACATTTACACATAAGTAGTTTGGTGACTTGTATATTTCAATACCTGATCTCTCTCGTTTACTGTATGCCTCAAAACTTAAACACTATACAAAAATATTTTACAACAACAAAAATATTAAATATATTACATAATGGAATTCTAGGGCATTTAAATACCCATAAGTAACATTCTATGTTGATGACTATTCATTTGAGATTTAACTACAAGTTTCATGGACCAACAGTTCTAAATATTATTGAATGCTATTTTGTCTTGTATATCTGGAATCATTTTTTTCTTTCTCGCTCATCCATTCCATCTAGAAATTAAAAAATAATTAAAATATCATTTTTCAATTTATTAGTTTGGGAAATACCTTTTGTTTGTGCTGTTTCATCGCATCTTCACACCGGCTTATAACCATAGCTTTAGTTAACAGACCATCTTCCGAAGTATAACCAGCTGCTTGCCACGCCACTCCTAACTTGGCAATTTCTCTACCAGACATTCCCTCAGTCATTTCTGCCATTTGTTTGCATAAGGCACTGTAGTCAAACTTCTCAATATTCAACTTCCTACAAAACAATATATTTCTTTAAAACATGATATAAATGGTAAATTGTGATTAACTATTACACTTTGCTTTGAGATGCTGGGGTTAAAACATATTTATCAAAGTATAGCATCATTAAACGTTCTCGTTCTTCTTTGCCGGGTAGACCAAATTCTACCATTTCATCTAATCTGTCATTTACTGCCCAATCAAATTGTTCAGGAGTATTACTTGCCAACACTAACATAAATCTAAAATTAAAAAAAATAGTAATCATTTATATTTCTCACATATTTTTTTATTTACTCTTTATTATGGTCCCCACTGAACATGTTTGTATGGGAGCCCACAAATATACTTTTAATAGATTACAACCTATACAGTATGTACAGGTGATTTTTTAGACATGCTCATCCCTATTTTATCCTTTATTAATACATTTATTCAAATTCTGATCCTTAGAAATTTTAAGTATAACTCAAGACCATATTTTCAAATATCTGATATTTTTCAATATTTCTTGATAATTTTCAAGTGAGATATGGGCATTTTCAACTTTTGATATTTCACATTAGTACCCATATCTTGCTTGAAAATGAAAATATTAAAAATCGGCCATGTTTAGGCACAGATGTTTTTAAATAAAAGTTTGATAAAAGGTCAATTTAAGCTAATTTCAAAATTATAACGGCACGGTATTAAAATTAGTGAATGAAAAATTGCTGTCGTACATTTATATGATGGAGACAACAAATGCATGAATATCCCGCTTAATGAATTAGTATCGCACATGAAATGGATATAATATTATAATTTATAACATAAGGCAAATAATTCACGTTTACTTGTTTGATTGGTCTCCAGTTCTATATAAAAAGGCATTTAAAGTGGCACGCAAATTTTCACTAATCAGCTCTGAACTACGTTTTCTTAAAAATGCATCTGCTTCATCAACAAATAACAATAAACCTTTTCTTGAGTTGGTTGCCCAATCAAAAACTTTGTGCATTTCAGTTACACCATCCTTTCCCAAAGGTGCTACATCTCCACCGGTCAATATAGCATAATCCATACCAGAATGCATCGCTAATTTCTGAAAATAATACAAAATTAGTCTATATTTTTTTTTAATTGTCAAACAATTGAATACACAGAAATATATATTGAAATATGTCTTCCAATTAAGCAAAAACAACCATTAGTTTTAGAAGTGTCTATGAAAAGTATTTTCAGTTGACAGTAACCCTTTGAGTCCCCTATAATTCCATAAGACTTGTTTTATTATAACACTTATAAAATTTAAAATTAGGGAAGGGTTCTTAAACCCTCAAATTTTAAGCAATACAAGAAACATATAAGTCCTTATTCAGACATCTCAATGTAGTTTGAGCATAATCAAATTTTAACTGTTGGTGTATGACAACAGATTTTTTTAATATTTATTTATGAAGTGTAAACAGTGTATGTATTACTATTATTTTTTCTAGAAAAAGTTGATAAAATAATTAGGTATATTGAATAATATAAAGATTATTTTTTTAAACTATCATTATTTGGTCATGAACCAATTTTTTGACTATTATATACAATATCTTACTTTGGCAAACAGTGTTTTTCCGGTACCGGGTGGTCCGTACATCAAGATATTCCGGTACATACCACGGTTTTTCTTAGTATTTAAAGTAGCAATTGCAACATCCCTAAAACATTAACATTTAAATATTTATTGTAATATTAACACGTTTTATTTAATAAGAATTTTTGTATTGATATGTTTAAATATAAATATTATATACATACCCTAATCTAGATTCTAATTTTGGTGGTAAAATAACATCTTTTAACGCACTACTTTTTTTAGTTCTGAGTTCCTTAAATGTCAAAATTGGGTGCCTTACTGATTCTAACAATGAGAATCGAGAAGTTTCCCTTACTAATGAAGGTTTACCTAAAAATTGCCACAAATTTTAAATCATATATTTTTAATTTTGATTTCTATTTTAAGTTAGTAGGTTTCTTTATAATATATTGTATATATTTAAATAATTCAAGGCCCAACATTATATTATTATAAGTTAAATACTTCATTATAATTTTAGTATATTCACCTAATCTTGATTCAACATATTTTGCTGTAACACCAGTAAAACCCTTGGCGCTGTATATACCTAATGCTAAAAGAGATAAGCCTCCTGCAGCCATCAAAGTTTTATCCCAATCAGAAAGCAATGCATTTGCACCACTTCCAAAAATTGAACCAGCAGTTCTTGAAACAAAAAAAATTGTAAATATTTACATTTTAAACACTTATTATAACATTTTAGTAAATACTTTATGGACTCCAAAACTGTTTGTCGGTGTTCAGATGCTTTCAATTTAAGTTGCTCCATTGTTAAATCATGGTTCTCTCTTTCTGCCTTTGCTCTTGCTAATGCTTTAGCCTCAGATTTCTTTGCATCTAATTTAGATTTCATCTCAATTTCATGTTCAATAGTGGCTGTAAAAAAACAAAAAAATTTAATATGCACCTAGTATATAAAATATTTAATTATATACAAAGTACCTTTTTTCATAGATTCTTGTTTAGCTACAGATTCTTCTTGTCGTCTTAAGTTCTCTTCATTAGAAGCACGTTGTTGTTGAAGCTGATCTTCATACCTAGTGATAATAGATGATTCATAAATTAGTGGCATACAATTATGTATGGGTGAGAAAGGAGTTCAGAGTTATATGATCTGTTATTTCTTGCTCATTTCTTGAATATACAATGTTATCAGGCAAATAATTACGGAGTTATTTTTACAAAATAGTACCAACTACCAAGTAATACAAAAGGTAAGTCAATTTTATTACTCAATTTAATGATGGATTTGATACACTTTGTTTGCCTTATGCCAGTACATTATTTAGCCACTTAACTAGATGCTGCCAATACTAATTGTGACCTAGTGAATTACTAGAAAATATATGAATATATTGAATTATTAAATATTTCTATTTTTATACATTTTAAATTGGTTATTAAATGATATAGAAGTTGATAAGTTAGATGTGCCACTGCTTTTAGTACATTTTTACGACATTGAATATTCAACCATAAATAAACAATTTTCTTATTATGTTTTAATTTAAAAACGATTAAAGGTAGGTAGTAGATATGTGAAATTTTCACCAACTGTTGATATGACTATTGTTTTTAAGATGATACCAGTGCATCGTTTGTTTTATCTCTCAGGCCCGTGCGTAACATAGACAAAATGCATTTATGAAGAATTGCTTTTTTTTTAGTTTTTGAATAATTTTAGAGCAAAATCATCCATTACGGAATCAACAGTGAATAATATTTTTGAGGGAGTGTCATATTGATTTGTCTAAATATTGTCTCAAAACAATTTATACGTCATTTAAATTTAAAATTTTATTTTTAAAGTCGAGTACTAAGTCAATTAATAATTAATAATAAATTATAAAATTGATATGTCACACCCTTAAAAATATTATTCTCTATAATCTTTGTAATAGGTAATTTTACTCTAACGTTACTCAAAAATCAAGTTTTGTGTGGGTCTGAGAAAGAAAACAAATATTGCAATGACATTCTTTTAATAAGACTTATTATAATGGGTAAGACCCTCCAAGAAACATGGCATGTGTCACACTTAAATATAAGAAAATTGACTGCATGCACTGTTAGTAATTATGTGATACATTACTATTTTGAAAAATTATATAGTTACTAACAAAATGCATAGTTGAATTTTAATGTACTTGATCAAAATACCTTTTGCGAGCTAATTGATCTTGATATTGTGACCGTAATTGATGCTGTTTAGTTTCTTCAGCCAACAACTTCTTTCTTTCTTCAGCATCTACTCGCTTTTGTTCGACACGTACTTGTTCCAAATGAATTTCATATTCTTTTATTTTTGTTTGATACTCAATTTGCTTAGTCGTTTCTTGCAATTTAGCTAAATCTAATGCTTCCTTGGCATGTTCTTAAATATTTTATACAATAAAAACATAATTAGTATGTACTCTATTCTCATAATAATTAATTACTAAGACATAATAATATACCAACTTGACTTTTCTAATTCTTTGGCAGCTTTAGCTGCTCGTTCTAATGCAGATGAATCAAATTTATATGCCTCGCCACTTGATGACGATGGTGGCGGTGACGGCTTTTTATCTGAAACATTGTCTATATTTTCCAAGTTTGGTGTTTCAGGGTTACTACCACCCATTCCGAAAATCCATGACATGATTACTGAAATCTAATGAATTTTTTAGTCAAACCTTAAAATCCAATTCACTGACATAATATGCAGTTATCTTACAAGGTTAAGATGTCACTATGTATCAATTTGTGTAACAATATTTTGAAACAAATTAATATAATATATGAAAAAAATTAACCCCAACCACCTAAGAATAAATATATACCATGTACTCAGAAAGAGGTACCTACTACCTATAAAATCAAATAATCTTAGGGTAAATTGACGAATTATTAAAAAATTAAAAGAGCAGGAAAAGACCATAACCTCAAAATGGTTTACATGTTAGCCATCTTTAGAGTACTATAATATTTCATACATACACGTTCTCTATTCCTAATAGTAAAATTATCATTCTTTTATGTCTGTCAAACAGAAAATTAACATATTAATATAATATTATGATTCATGTATTAATATCATTAGTCATTACTATTATATTAATTTTATTATTAACTTTATAAACTTATCATTTAATTGTATATCAGATTTATGCCCGTAAATTGATTAAAATAAAAAAACAAATAAAAAATCTAAAAAAATTTAATGGATCACATACTATATGGGTACAGATTTCCCGATTTTGATAACAATTGATAACAGTGAACCTGATAAGATTGGTACCTAACATAGAGTAAGAATATACCTAAGCATTGTGTTTAAAATATACATTATACATATAAGTAGGTACAATACAGTTTTAAATGTCTAGTGTCTACCACTCGTCCACTCGGCACTCATGACATATGAGTGGGGACTGGTGAGTGGTGAGTGGTGAGTGGTGACACAATAAAATAATTGTCTCATTCTTAATTCTCATAGAGTATAGTCGTATAGACCATTAGTGATTAGTCACATGAAGGACATGAACTATGAAGTCGAAACCGTTGAATAATGAACATTAGAAGTCTTTAGTATCGTAACTCATAACTTATAACTCATTAGTCGTTTTATTCTTTAAACTGATTTGAACCGAAATCTGAAATAGGTATTGAACTCTCGAGTCAATAGTATTCAGTCGATGGTAGATCACCTATTCACACGATCTATTTTCTATGCGATCACTGAACCTTCCTCCCCCAAACATTACGTATCATGTCTACAATATTCGCACAAAGATATTTTTTTTTACCCAACACTCGTATTATGTTTACATTAATCGTCGAATCCGGTTACCAGACGCGATGTCTATAACGCGCGATAGTAATAATAATAATTATTTCTTGTAGTTTACACTTAGTACCATTCCTGACGTGATGACTAAAACAGTGGAATCGTTCGACGGTTGCTAGAATGGTTCATTATATATTATTTGTTTCGTTTGATATTAATAATACTCGTTGTTATTGTTAAAATGTTCGAGTTACTGTTATAGCTGTCGTACACAAGTATGTGTCGTTCTATGACTTCTCACAATCGTGTTTTTAATACTTGTTCATTGTATTGTTTAATGTTTAAGGTTTGAAATGGCGTCAGACGATTGTAAGAATCTCTTGTATGACCAAGCATGCTTACAAGTGTGGGCAGACAATGCACCGAACATTTCGTTGTGGATGCAAACAAAAGAATGTTACAAAGTGAGTAAAAAATTAAAAAATTTGTTGCACCCAATATTGTTGATTCTAATACAAACCCAAATCCACCTACAATAATTTTGTTGAATCATGTTATGTGTTATGAGTTATAATTTGATACTTTTCATCGTACAGGTCAGGTACAATCTATAGTAATTTGTATATTTCATATTATGATTAATACATGCCTATATGTTATTATGTATTTGTATGTGCTGTAATAGTTTTTATTAATTTTTCCTGTTGCACTCTGAATTTTTTTTTAATACACAATACATAATAAGGAATGTAAAAATTACCTAGTAATAAGCAGTGGAGTATTGAGTGTTTATTTTTTTGGAAGGTGGATAAAAAAAATGATCCATATAATCATATACCCTAGGGAGTAGCTACTGGCTAGGCCCCCATGCTTCCTATATAACTTTCCATTTATCTCTTACTATTTAATTTTTATACATTTTGTTATTAGGTTATAGATTACATAGATAATTATTATTTTAACTAGTTCTAACAGTAAAGGACTATAGGTTTATTTTTATTTGTTTGATAAAATAAGTTTAGACTAAATAATATTTAGTTACTCTCCCAATATAAGCTATGCTTATAGGGAGTGTTGCATACTTGTCTATTTTCTTAATTTTAATGTATTGTATTTTTATTTGCAAAAATAAATATTATTATTATTATTATTAGTTAAATGTATAATATAGGTATCTAATTTATAATTTCTTATATAATTTTCTTTTTAAGTTGTTAAATTTAAAATAGAAATTATATCTCTATATTGTTTATTTATTTAAAATAAAACTATTTTATGAAAAAATTATATTAGATAAGGTAGGTATATAGTTTATTGTGATATTTTATTCCTGTACCTATTTTACCCATAGTTATTTACTAATATTTACCTATAACTATTTAACAGTTACCACTTGAGTATCACTAAAAATTGTATTAGGTAACTGATCCTTATCTATACACTAGTTATACCTGTGGTTTATTAATTTTCTGGGAATTGTAATTATGCTGTACATTTTGAATGTAATTGCATAATTATTAAATTGAGCAATTCAAGTCATATTCAATAATTTATGATAATACTGATTTTTGAATTGAATGTGTTAACACATAAACCTTTTTTGTAAGGACATATTACTATATTAGTTCCACAGTTTTTATTATAAATCATTAAGTATTGGTTAACTTAGTTATTAATTTTTGTATTTTATGATAGGTAATTATGGTGGTTATAATAATTAATTGTTCTTTTATCATTAATATTAAATATATGTCTATAATGTTTACTAAACATAAATGGATCATAATACATTTTAGCCCATTATTCATTTGTTTTTATTATATATTAGTCATTTGTGTGATATTATTTAATTATTTTACATCAATATTTTTCTGTAGTGTGATTTATTGAAAAAAGAAAACATATCCAACAACGGAATTACTAATATCAAATTAAATACAATTTATAGTGTCTGGTTAGATTTAACCAATGACAGCAGCCATAATAATTGCAGGTTAATCATTAATTTTCACTATATTATAATTTGTATTATTCATAACTATTACTTTAAAAGTTTGATAGTATATAATTAACTGTATACTCTATTTTATTACAGAACACTTCATACTTTTGAAGAACATGGAGTTTATCAATGGAATATTTCAAACAATTTTGTTTGTTCCGAAATCAAACAAATATCAACTTCTCAAGATCTGTTCATGCGTTAGTTATTAATCGTTATTTTATAAATTCATGATGATCTAAAAATTAAAAATTCATTAATTTTTTTTTTTTTAGCATTTGTATATGCATTATTGCTCATAATACCGTCCTTTGCTGTTTGGTTTTTCATCAATTATCTGCAAAGGACTTACGTAGTGCCATCCGTGTTCCGATTTGCATCAAAAACAGATTTGGATATTGAAAATGTAACTTGAACTTATTTTTAAACTCTTTAGGGTTATCTATCTTAAATCTTTTGTATGAACTATTAGATGTTTCAGACGGCCCCTAGCCGTGATGTACAAACATTTGATGGTTCTGATGTCGAATTAAAAAATGCGGTTTGATTATATTTTATAACTTAATTACTAATTCAATAATTGATAAAAATGCCTTACTAATTGGTATTAGGGGTAATTTATAATACTAATTAAACATTTCCTAATGGTTCTACACATCATTTTTATTAGGGCTTAAGATTATTTGTACTCTCTAATTAGCTTAAACCTTTCTAACTTCGAGTTATTAAAATTTACAACATTTATGATGTAGATAGTATTCTTATTATATGGATAAAGTAGTAAAATAGATTTATCTATTATTTCTAATCAAATTGTGTTTTTACTATAAACAAATTAAATTAGTTGTGTTGTATGGAAAAAAATAATGTAATATATTAAATCTTCACATTTAAACATATACATCTTCGTATTAAGAGGACGTGATACCTGCATGTATTGTCTCTGTTTTACAAGTGCTTAACATAGCAAATTTTAAGCTCAGCAGAACACGTGTAGCTCCGTTAGTTTAAAAATTAGTGCGAATTGACCCCTTATAAAATCTAAAGGTAAGATTGTTATGTAGCAACCTCATAGATTTTTTATTGTATTTTAATTTTAACGCAAGTTATGAGTATTTTAAAATTGTACATTTTTAATACATCTTAAAATACTTATAACTCGCTTTAAAATAAAAATATAATAAAAAGCCTATGAGGTTGCCTAGATAATAATCTTACCTTTAGATTTTATAAGAGGTCAATTTACTTTAATTTTTAAATTTACGGAGCTACACGTGTTCTGCTGAGTGTACAATTTGCTATGTTACTCACTTGTAAGACGGAGACAACACATGCGGGTATCACGTCCTCTTAACCAACTACATGTACTTTATTTAATTTGAATGGTCATACTAAATGGTGTATTTAATTTTGAAATTAAATTCAGATATAAGTACTTAACAAACACTGTGTTTATACACATTTATTAATGCAAATTAACTATATGATAATTAAACTTTTGGTCAGTACATGCTTGAATTAGGTATGAAACCGCACTACTGAGAATGTGTACTTTTTTCATTATAACCCAAATATTTTATTCTGTGATATTGATTAGTGTTTTAAGTGTATAATGATAGTAGTATAGAATTAAAAATTTGAAATACACAACTATTTATGTGTATTGAGCTATATATATGAATTTTTTAATTCTGTAGTAAGAGTTGTTCAGTTTGACAAACCAAACAAAATTTTTAATGCATTTATACACATATTCCTGAATTAACTAACTACAGAATTACTTTAATTTGCATTAACATTACGTATAAACAGGGCAGGAGTCATCAATTATAGTTTTTCATTTTATTAGAAATGTTTTTGAAAATTAATCTGAATTTAATTTCTAAAATGTCTGTAAAAAAATTTATAAAATAACAGTGTTTGATAAGTTTTTTTTTTATAATTTTAGGATTTTGGAACTGGTTCTAATGAACCGGTTATTATTCATCCTCAAATTCCGACACCAGTCAAAAATAATAGTTATCGTATCACATCATTAGACACATTTAGAGGGTAATAACTTGAGTTTAACATTATAATATTTATGCTTTCTGTATTAAATAATTTAGTTTTACAATTAACTGATAAGCGACCATAGTTATTAAGTAAATTTATGTATCAAAATTTTAAATTAGAAAGATTAAAACCAAATTTTGGTCTTTGGGTTTAATAAGATTGCTTTGGTTTAATTTTTCAATTAACTTGATAAAATAAAATAAGATGGGCCAATTATTTTTTTTAATTATATTTTTTTGGATTCAGGCTAAATTAAAAAAAAAATTATAATTTCATTATTTTCTTTTAAAAATGTAGTATTACTTAAAATTAAAATTTAAGTTCTTGAATGTAAAAATAAATTCCCTACTTAAAGTTCTTTAATATTGATTTATAACTGGTAATATATATATTTAATAGTAGTTCTGTGCAGTAGCGTGTTTTAGGGAAGTAACTTATACATTTATCATCTTTTGGCAAATTGAGTCTTATCAAATGAGTGTTCTGTTCCCTTTCAATATTAAACAGCAGTATTTTACATTTGTACATTATTATTGATTATACATAAATATAAAGTTTAAATTACTATAAATTGTAAATCTTATGCTTAGTTCTAATTGTGTTACTGCTTATATTAAAAAATGATGTAATAATATTTTAACCTATTGCGATATTTATGTTTTAGGATATCTATCATATTAATGGTATTTGTCAATCTAGGAGGTGGACATTATTGGTTCTTTGAACATGCTCCATGGAATGGCATCACATTAGCAGACTTCATATTGCCTTGGTAAAATAAAATTTATTTGTATCAATCTGGTTTATAGTTAAAAATTTGTGATAATATAGTTTGTTTATTTGTTAGGTTTTGTTGGGTCATGGGAGTAAGCATAGCCATATCATTGCGATCTCAACTTCGTTCAAGCACCAAAAGAAAATATGTCTTTGGTCGGGTTGTTCGAAGATCAATTGCCCTATTGATCATGGGCTTAGTGCTAAATTCTGTAAACAACAATAATTTAAGCACTTTTAGACCATTGGGTGTATTACAGAGATTAGCATTTATATATTTCATAGCTGCTACATTGGAAACAATTTTTATGAAACCTCAACCCTATTTTACGGTAATTTATTCAAAAGTATTAATTTTCAAGAAAATAAAAAAAAAAATTTTCTAGAATACTAAATTGGACGTAATCCGAGATATTATTGAAAGTGCCCGGCAATGGATTATAGTTATTATATTAGTAGCTATTCACACAATCATTACTTTCTTTTTACCCGTACCTGGTTGCCCTAAAGGATACTTGGGACCAGGGGGCCTCTACAATAGTTCATCAAACACTAATTGTACTGGCGGTGCTGCTGGATATATTGATAGGCTAGTATTTGGCGAAAATCACATGTACTCTGGTACAGCTAAACCAGTTTATCAGTCATTGCCATTTGACCCTGAAGGTAAGATAATAATATAAGTGTTTAATTAAAAATGTATTCTAAATACTTAATTTACAATTTTATTTTTTTTACTTTAGGTATTTTAAGTACTCTGACAAATACCTTACTTGTATATATGGGTGTACATGCTGGTCGCATTATCTTATGTTATCAGTATACAAACGAACGGATTAAACGTTGGATTGCTTGGACTATAGTACTAGTAAGAATATTATTATTATTATAACTAGAAAAATATTCAACAAATAATAAGTTCTAATTTGCATTAAGTGTATAACACTATCAAATAATTTAATTATTCCATGTTCCATTATGTTCAAACTATTCAATTGTACTGAAATTATTGAAGTGTTATAGTTATTTTATTGATTACTCAAAATACTCAATAATTTAAAAAAGATAATACTGGTTATGCTCATAAGTCATCACTAGTTGATACACATTATACTCAATCAATTACTATTTCTAGAAAAACATAAAAGCATACCTGTTTTTCTAAATGTACTAAGTCCATTTTCAACAAATTTTTGTTTTAGACTTTAAATATTTTGTGTAACAGATTTAATCCTAAATATAAATGTAGCCTTAAACCATCATTGACATACATTTATTGCACAACACAATCCCTACATTGTAAGCTTCATGCTAATTTGTTACTTATTTATTATTATTAAGATGATGTCAGCTCAATATTTGTTTTTCTCTCAGACCCACGCTGAACTTAGATAAAAGCCTTTCACCTAACATTGTTTTAAAGAATCTTGGAGTAAAATCACTTTTTACAGTAATTATAGAGGATTATATTTTTAAGGGTATGATATATCAGTTGTATATTTTATTGTTATTTGACTCGGTATTTATATTTTAATTTTTAATATTTTCAATTAAATTTTTTTTTTTTATTTAACCTTCAAAATAAAATTTTTTTGTAAATTATAAAAAATGTTTAAATTGTCTTGAGACAATATTTAGACAAATCAATATGTCATACCCTCAAAAATATTATTCTCTACTGTTTTTGTAATTTACTCTAAGATTACCCAAAAACATAAGAAAAATTATTCTGCGTTTTGTCTATGTTGCGTATTTCTCAGAGAGAAAAAACAATGCTTTGACATCCTCTTAAATTCTTGATCAAATTAGAACATCAAATCAAACATAAATATATGTGCCCTAAAAAATGTTCAATCTTTATTATCAAGTATAATATATTTCTTATGTACTATTAATAGCTTATCAAACAAAAATTGTCTTAAGTTTTATTTTTATCATTACAGTAGGATATGTGTGTGTTCATTGTTTGCTCCTTACATCGATACTCTAGACTTTGTTTGATAATAACTATTTAGGAACGACAGAAAGCACTTTAATTATTTATACGCTTATTATCAGTTTTGATAGGTAAATATTTGTTAATATGTCATTTGAAAGTGTTAATAAAATTAGATGAATTTGATTGTTTTATTCAACTGACATTCGACATGTCATTTGTTTATATTTACTCACATGTCTACCATCAAAGGGTTAATGTTAATTAAGTAATAACTAATAATCTGTAGTAAATAATAATAATACAATTTTGGATTCATATTTCAGTTATTGTTACTGATACAATGATAAAAATAATTATTCAATACTAATTGTTGCATTTTTAGGGTCTAATTGGAGGTTTTTTGTGTAACTTTTCCAAAGAAGAAGGCTTAATACCAATTAATAAAAATTTGTTCTCTTTGTCTTATGCATTTATTACTGGAAGTTCTGCATTCTTAGTATTCATTATACTGTTCTTAATTATTGAACATTGGAGACTTTGGGGTGGATCACCATTTAACGAGATTGGTAAGCATTCAGTATATTTTTGTAATAATATTATGTACTTAAAATATTCATATTTATCAGGTCAAAATTCAATTATGCTATACCTTGGACACAATATATTTTATAACACACTTCCGTGGAGGTGGCAACCGGTGAATGAGACTTCTCACACGGAATATTTAGTTATGGATTGTTGGGCAACAATATTTTGGTGTGCAATAGCATTAGTGATGCACAAGAAAAATATATTTATTGTAGTGTAATTAATTATTGATAATTAAGTTTTAGATTTATATCAATAGCTTAATTATTACTCATAATGACTTAAGAATGTAGCATTTTTGTTATTCTAAAACCAATATAGTAAAAACCGTCACATTATCTAATTATTTTCTAACTATATTATGAATGGATCAAAATAGGATTAAAAACTATTTTCTATAACCAAGATTGTTTTTAATTTTTTTATTGATTTTCAAGTATGGAAAGATATGAATCTTTTGATTGTTGACTGAGTTTAAAGAATTGTAAAAATTGCTGTGTATTTAAAGAAAACAAATCGGATTTCCTGAGTAACTTCCATATTTTAATTACTGTCATTAGTTAATTTAATTACATATTATTGTACTTAACTATTTTATTTTTATACCACTACTTTTCTAATGCTTATTGTTAAAATATTAATACTATTTTATACTTATTGTAATATTTTTTTATTAAAATGTTAACACGTTTTATGTATTTTTCTTATGGAGTTTTTTAGATTTCTTTTCTTGGTGATATTTAGACTCATTATTATAGTGAGTGTCACTATGCTTTTCCTTTTTATGTCCGGTCTCTCCTTTTTTTCCAGACTTATGTTTTGTTTCACCTTTGTTACTGTTCTCTTTGTTTGATTGGCCTCCCTAAAAAAATATTAATCAAAGTTATAAATACTTTCAAAAACTATATACAATGTACATCACATACTTTTTTGGTTTTATTTTTCTTGCTTTTGTTATTGCCTAACAACTTTTTGTCACCCTTTTTCCCAAATTTCTTAAATGTACCATATGTTTCATAATTGTCCCAGAATTCATTAACTTTATGTTTTTCATTTTTGTGATAATTATCTCGAAAACCCTGCAGATTAAGTTAAATTACCTGTTTATTACTTATATTTATTATCATATATTATGCACCTACATACTTTTTTTGTTTTAAATTTTTTTTGTTTGTCGCCTTTTTTGTATGATGCTTCTTTCTTTTTACCTCCATGAGTATGTACCTCTCCAGCATTACTTCCTTTGTTATTATATTTGTCATCATCTCCCTTTTCTTCTTTGTATTTTGTTGATTTTTCTTCATTCATGAGTTTACCACTTTTATATTTTTCTGCATCAATTTCTTTTATGCCTCCTTTTGATTCATCTGATTTACCTTTATTTTTCTTGTAAACAGTTGATTTTGTGTCTATATTTATGAAAAGTTTCATTCAATTTAAATTTTGAATACATATTATGTAGATATCTAAGAATCTAAAAGAATAAATACAAATTACTGCCTACTAGATACCAACTATTTACAATAATTATGAGCTCAAATAATTATATTTGCCCAAGCGGATCTCATTCAGTGTCAACCCCTTCACATCCATAACTACTATAATACAATAATACATTTTTTTTTTTATTCTCAGCTGTTCTTAATAATGCAAATTAAAATTTAAAAAAAAAAACTGTTCTTAATAATTTTAATTTTTATAATGGTACACAATGATTCTTCTAAATAGGACCTTAATAGCTTTAAAATTTAAATAATAATTGATATTTTATTTTACAGTTCGAATTAAAGTAACAAAGATTATGGATTTTGTTGATACAAACTATTATTTATTGTAATTTTACTAGACTTTCGAGTGCAGTTTATATAAGTGTATGTGGTACGTATATAAAATATGAATGTATTATTATATATAAATATAATATTCAATATTTATACCTATAGTAACTAGGTACCAATGTACCAGTGTACCACACTACCAATGTCCATGAAATGTTTTATGTACATTGTACAGAGGCGCATCGCGCACAGCTGAAACATAAATAAGTCAGCGAAAAACACCATCGTATAGGTATTATTGCCGTTTATTGGTACCTATTACTTATTAATTAATAATTCTTATAGGTAAGTACCTAAGTACTTAGAATTAAGTCGTTTTGCTGTACATAGGTGATAGTGAGCTAACCCATCTGTGCCGTCCTGTGGGCTGTGGTCGTATATCATTTGCGCATCACTATCGTTGATTTTGACCTTTTTTGTGCATTGTTCTATTTTTGAGTTATGCCACGTAGCCTATATGACAGGTATTGCGTGCTGTGTGCACATCGAAAATTTACCTAGAGGCTTTCATCAAAAGTTCGGACATCATTTGTGCATACTGCATCGTCTACTTAACAATAGGTACCTAGTACCTACTAGAAATAATTAGGAGGTATATAATTATTTTAGGATCTTATAGGTACCTACTCAAAATACTACCCTATAAGTAGGTTCTTTTCTAACTTTGAGCTTAAGATGGTGGGCACATCGATTTCATTACAATGAATAATTTTACAGTCTACGTCTTTTAGAATGGATCATATGAAATAGGTAGTCATTTTCATGAAAAATTAATGTAGTTAGGTAGTTAATTATATTTGTTTTATAAACCTACCTACTCATTTAGTGACGTAGCTTTTATGATCTACTTATGTAGGTACCCATCTAATAGAAAATAGAAACATTGAAAGGAATACTCCAACTAAATTATGTTTATTAGAATTTAATTATTGTACTATAATTGTAGATATATTATAATTAGGTGTCAACTATTACTATAATATAATTGAAATGAGCACAATTAATTTTGACTAAAACTATAGGTACCTTGTATATTAAGGTACTTTTTTAGAATATATACGTAATTTTGAAGTTAAAAAATCATAAAATAACAATATTATGATGAATTTTGTCAAAATTTAAACTTTAAATACAAACAAAAGCCCGTGTCTATGAATCTAAAAAAAATCTTACATTAATCATTAGATATTATATTATATTTATATTTTTATATTCATACGTTTAACTAACTGGTATACATTTTTCATTTGTTCAGTCTTCCTGTTACACCTTTTATGCTTTAAAATAATAACGAGTTATATTATAACTATTATTATTATTATTTTTTTTTTTTATTATTATTAGATATATTATTTTAAATGTATGTAATTATGACTGCAATTCAATTGAATTCATTCAATTTATTTTTAATTGTTTTTATAAATTTATTAGTTATAAATTTATGAATTATAGCAATTATTGAAGTTTTAATTAGAGTTGCGAGTAGTGTATATTTATTTATAGGTACGATATTTTGGTACCGACACATAGACGACGCGCAAACAATAAGTCGATAACCTGCTCTAGGAAGCTGTAGAGTAAGAAATAGGTCTACTAATATTTTAGAGTCCATTTTAAAAATTGAACGAAATTTGAACGATTCAGCTATACGGCTCTAAAATTATAATTTATTAATATATTTTGTGTAAACACGGAACGATCACATAGCTGAGCATATATATTTTTTTATTTGCAGAAATTATTACCTTATAACTAATAAGCATAATAAGTAATAACTGTCTAATGTCTTCACTCTTCTTTCTCAATAAACTCTTTGAGGCTACGAACATAGATATATACAACATTACAACTAGATGAGGGTTCGGGGCCTCAAGTGCCCCCGAATATTTTTGAAGGCACTCTATCATTCCCCGTGTAGATATGTATTGAAAAACAAGTCACAAAAATGTTTCTTTCAACAAGGCAAAAAATTGGATAAAACGAGTATGCTCAATGCTGCAAATTGCAATACTGTTTCTCAAATCTGGCTGTCATAAACATTGAAAGAAATATCGTTAATTTATTAAATAATGTTTATATAGGTTGGACATAGGTATTATAAATAGGTAATAAGAAACAATTTTGTGCCGACCTATATACTATACAGTTTAAATTTGTTGGTACCTACCTATTACATAAATATTAATGTTATAATTTATAAATGTAACTGGGTATATCAGTATATGTACAATAAGCCATTGAAAATAATTTAGTATAATATTCTTTATTACGGAAAAATAAATTTAAATTAAATAAACTTGGTATAAGGGTGTAACAGAAATGTTCAAAAAGATTAATGATTGAAAAAATACGAATCCTACCCCTTGACCCTAGCCTCAAATTTGGTTCTAGTTGTGTCTACGACCTATATCAGGCTATATGTAAGTAATATATAAAATATGTATAATTCATAACAGTTCCCTATGTACCATGGTTTGTATTTGTGGTAAATGTCGCATGCACATTTGTAGCTATACCTACTTCGCGTACCAACCTATTATTATCTACTTTATGTAATATATGTAATGTTCAAGAGTAAACCAAAGTTACGCGTGCAAAAACATTAGTAGGTACCTACCTACATTACGCAAGGAAATTGCGTATTTCTTACAATTTAGACAATATTAGGTATATACTTATGATTATATTGATATGTGTGGGTACACCTACTTTTCGATGACGGTGACACCCAAGGGTCGATCAGAACAAAATGTTGCGGGTAATATCCACTAGAATAATTGGGCAGTTGCAGTGCAGCGCGTTCCGAGCCGGTGCACTCCGCGACCGCTGCTATTAACATTAGCTATACACGTATATATATAAAAAACAAAACAAAAAATACATAATGATTGGCAGGATTATCGGTTTATTGACGCGTGTCTTTCATAATAGCTATATTAAAGTCTTAATAAATTTTCTTAATAATTATTAAGATTAAGAGGTACCTATAATATATTATTCGGGTTCAGTATACCAATGGGAGGTAGGTAGGTCGGTCGGTAGTCGGTTCCAACACCAATCTATATTAATTAGTTATTATCATTGAAGGTAGGTATGTACAAATTCTTAGAAGTATCATCAGCTGTTTCCTATACAAACAACAGTGAAAAAGTTTTTAATTTGAATTAAAAGTTTGCAGTAGTAGGTACCTACCAGTCATCAAAGAATACTCCTTAAATGCTTAAAAAAGTCTAAATATTTTGAAATATGATTAATGAGCAGCATTATACGCGTTGTTTAAGTTATCTAAATACATCATTCCTCACATAACTTAGAATCCAAAAATGTCTAAATTTGTATAGGTAAATATGTTTAGTGAACTAAAGACGGGGACGAGAGATGAGTATAAAAATCCAATTGTTTGTTGTTTCTTTTTAGGGAGAGGGGAGGGAAATAAAATGTTGATGAATAGTATATAGCATACAATATTGGAACGACTTGTTACTAGGTATTTTTAATTATTTATAAATATAATATATTAGGTAGGTATTTAATTTTATTTTGGAGTCAATATTTATTATATATATATTTAAATATATAAAAACCATATTAGGTAAATATACCTAATCCTTGTCTGGTCTTATCCCGGATATAAAGATATTTTATTTTATATTCAATAAAATTAAAAAGTTTAACACATCTTTGATTTCTTGTTGTTCTAGAAATACGATATATTGTATGTTCGGTAATATGAATACCATTGAGTATTTGAATATAGACAGTACCCACTCAATGCCTAATAGGTACCTACATATATGTTGTAAAAAAATTGATGTTTGGAAAAACGTAAGTACCTATAGGTGCTGGAATGGTCGCCATTACAGATAACATTGTGATGTAAAAGTAAAACAAGCTCTATTATTGTTACGATAGCGAAACGCTGTGGTACCTATGTCTATTTCGGACTGCAGCCTCAATTTAGGCTGCTATTCTCGTATACTTGAATGGTCGAGGATCTATGCTTGAAGTCAAAGCAGCTATACCTACTTCCAACATGAACTTACGAGAGTATCGTGAAGCCTATAGAGAATAGAGATTGCTATTTATTGACTTGGGAAGTAATAATAATATATATATATATATATATATGGATAAAGTGATCAATTTATAGGCGATGTATATTATTATATTAAGCGATCGTTTCAGCTCATGAGCTGTATCGTCGATACTGGATAACATAATATGGTACCTAGTGTGTAGGGAATATAATTTATGTAGACTTATTATAATATTATATTTTATAGGTATAGTGCCTCGTTGGTGTCACGTATACACGTCGATGGACTTACCCACACGAAACGAACGTCACACACTCTCGCGGCGGCAGAGTTTCGGTACGATGTTGCGAAGTCCATAACTCAGCTTAGGTATGGGTAGATAGGTACGATTGGTACGAATATATATATATAGTTTTAGCTGGTACCTATGTATATGCAGCTACAGCAGTCCTCCGTTGGTAGAGCTTAGGTTTAAGAACGTCACGCACTTTCTTGCCGTCGTCGTCGTCGTGTCCGCTACCGCTGTGGGGACACGGACGGTGTCCGGTCATCTAAACGGTTTGGTTAACACTGGAATACCGACCGGCAACGGCGGTATAACTCGGTAACAAAAAACGAAAAGTAAAAGAAAATAATAACAATAATAAAAAATTGTGTCCGCGAGGTGGGCACCTCTATAGGCGTACGTACGTATTGAGGTATCGTCAAGCCAGGAAGAGAGGTTACAATGTCGGTCGGCGGTTACGCAATGACGGCGGCGTCGCCGTCCGTTGAATTAGCCTAGATTTTGTTCTCGTTTCACGTCCCTATTCGTGTATAATAACTGCAAGTAACAGGTAGGCGGGTCGTGCTGCAGACAACGATAGATTTACCTATACATAATATTATGTAGATATATATTACATACACAGGTACGATCGAAAAAAAAAAAAAAAACCGAGGCGCAATCCTGCGGTAAACGTATATAAAAAAAAAATAATGTCGTCTCGACGAAACGCGTCCCATTTATCGTTATATACCAGTATCACCCGAGTATAATACCTGTAGGTGCTACCTATACATAATATACGCTCTGCGGTCCGCAGTCACACGTCTTTGACTTGGAGAAACGACGCTTTGTCAGCCGTACCTACCGCTGTATTTTGTCAACCTTACTGCAGTTAACAACTATACCACGTCATTATATTATATTATTGTGTAGGCATATATATTTACATATTATTGTGTACACATTTAAAATATATATACATGTAAGTATCGTAATCGCGGTGACCCTGGGGTATGCGCGTATAGTAACAATACTTACATCTATATTATATACTGTGCAGTAGTGAATTATAGCGCCAGTACGATGCTCGCTCTTAACCCTTTCCGCCGAGCAACCGAAATATTCACATTGTCGCATATATAATATATTGTACTACACTCACCGCGGCTGGATACAGAGGCACCTATATAATGTACATATTATACTATAATAAACGCCGTATTTAGGTGTAAAAACGGGTATTTATAGGTACATATAGGTGTATAAATGTGTGCTGTTGTGCACACCAAATACCAGCCGTCATTGCGAAACCATCACGTGCACAATTATTGGCGGGAAGCCTTGGAAGGTCGCCGTGAAAACGGCGTGTCGATTAAAAACGCTCTACGCGTCCGTTCAAAATCCAAGGGCTCCTCGTCTTATTTCGAGTTCGCAAAAACCCTCGGATTCGTTATACGCGTGCACACCGCGGCGCCTGCTGCACTCGTATATAATAATATACACGAAAGCGGCACAATTTCAACACCCTCTTCTCGGTACCTATGCAAGAGAAAAAAAATTGATTTTATTATTCCAGACAATAATGATTTGCCCTCGTATGCGTGTTAAAAAAAAAAAAAATTATTAACCTTACTATATGATTATACGATGCCTTATCCTTACACGACGACCTAACTAGTATCTGTCGGAAACTAACCGTACCTATATGTATTATACGTCATAGGTAAGGTTGAATTATTGAATTGAAATCGTAAACGTATCGAAAGTGTATGTCGTCTGTTATGATTGAAAACTCAACAAATGCAAGCTCAAAGAAAACACTTACAATTTAGGTAGGCGTGAATTTTCACATTGTTATTATATATTCTAATTTTATAGGTTTTGATGGTTATACTTCCTGAATTACAACTCACAAGCCACAACATAATATTGTATCATACAGATATGCAGACCTACAATACAATAGTATATCGTATTCTACACGGGTGTCCAGAGAAGCGGTTGCAAGATGGATAGTCATAATATATTATGCAGTCGAGAATAAAAATAAATTACGTTCAAATCTTCACGTCTAGACGCAATTGAAATCTGAATGCGTAATTGTTGTTAAATGGGTAATATAACTTTTATTATAATAAAATATGTTTTAACACGTCTGATACGTCGGTAGGGTAATATAACAATAATTCCTGTTTTTTCGTAGATTTATCTCTGAAAAAGTATTGTTAATTATATCCATTAATGATTAATGTCTAATATGTACACCAATACAGGATTATTCAACATAAATATATTTTTGGGAAGGATACAAGATTTTTTTATTTCTGACCGATTTCTCGTTAGGTTTTTTGTTGTCATGGTTACTTGAGTTACCAAAACGTATTTATGATACATAGATTTTTCTTGCATAGGAAGAATATCGAGAAGATTGTTATGGTTTTTTTTTAAATCTTTTATTGATTGAAATCATACAATATTTTATGGGCGTGTTGTTGATCGCTTCTCAAAAGAAAATTAAAAATGTATTTAAAAAAAAAAAAAAATTATTTTTAAATAGTAGGTACTCAGTTGGGTATTTGTAAAACAAATTGACAGAACAAAATAATGAAACTATAGCAAAACTATACTGAAAACAATAAAAACAATAGATTACATTTAATTGATAATTTAAACCAAGTTTATCCTGAAACCAGACGAATCATTTTGTTAGTCATATACACGACGTGTTTCCTTGCCAACTGATTGATGATTATTGTCAGATAACCAAACAAATATTCTCATTATTATTTTTTTTAATCAACACTAAAACAGCTATGTATACTGAATTAGATCATTAGTAGTTACTGGTTTAACACGCCATATATACGATTGTTACTCATGCGATTAGCGTATGGCATGTATACAATTACCTATCTATTACTTATTATTTATTAATATAGTTACCTACACCACGTTATATAGGCACTATGTTATTCCATTTCTATGACTCATAGACTTTTTTTTTATTTCAATAACGGATTGGGTTTTCTTGGAATTATCAAGATCTTTGTAAATTTCTACATTATTATGTAGTATTAGGTTTTACAATAGTTGTTAAAAATACTTCCGCATTTTGTCGTACATTCGATTTTAATGTTTTTTTTAGATTCCAAGCGGAGCGGTGAATGTATTGATTTTTTTCATTTTATTATTTATTTTAAATTTAATTTTGTTTACTAATTTAAAGTTTAAAGTCTTACGACATTGGATATTCAAACAAAAAATGATTTTAGTTATTTTATTGTAATCAAAAAAATATCATTCGTTGACTTGAAAATGTTCGCCATTACGTGTATTATTATTTATTTTACTAAACACAATGCAATTTTCAAAATATTTTAATAGCTTCGGCCTATTTATTGTTTATATCCCAAGCCTATTTACACCTGGCGTTCAGCAGTAGGTACCCAGACAGGAACGTCGGTATTGACTTACCTATTATAGTTAAATGTGCGATTTTTTTTTTTTGAAAACAAACGTATCTACTGTATTACTAATAGAAAAATTAAATTACTCATACTGGCTATAGAAATGTTAAGTTACCTATATGATCATGTTCAAATACATATTATTAGATTAATTAATAATTTTGACTGACTCCACACATAATCGTTTTTGTAATTAAATTCAAATGTTGAATTTGTTAAATGTGTTAAACGTCCGTTACAGTGACGCATCTACTCAATGAAGATTTACACTCGACACCTATAATATACAGAAAAGAGACTTCGTTGGCTTATGGATTTCGTTATTAATAAATTCAATATGATTTTAAATTTAAATTTTCGAGTCTATTATATGGCTATTAATATTATGATTTTATGTTATGATTCAAATTATATAACATTTACGTTGCAATAGCAAATTTGTGTTCAGAAGTGCAACGTTCTAAGTTTGTATTCTTAGCTATAATATTAGGGTAAATTTACTCCTATGTCTTTGTTTTATCAATGTTAATACTTAATGCCTAATGGTAAGAACATAATCTGTATTTGTACTTCGGTGTATTGGGTTTTTCGATTTTTAAGTAGGTTATGAGTTTTTGAATATGCACAATATTTCAATTTGAAAATGCTCAAGACTAGCTTACAAATTTTAGAATGTTACAACTATTATTCTAATTACTACGTGAAACAATTTTTTTTTGTTCATATAACTTTGACTCAATGACTTATGTTTTAATAAAAAGTATCCATCTCACATGCATTTTTAAAAATCAACCAAGTTTAAGTATGCTAGGTATGATTAAGCTATAGTTGTTTATACCTTATAAGAACAAATTTAGTAGTGAACAGTAAAATAAATAAGAAAATAGTGAAATTTATTCTCATAATTAAAAAGTAAAAGGAAAGGTCGTATATATTATGCCATCATTATAAAACCAATAGTATAATTTTGTTTGGACAACTAAACCTGACCTAATCAAGACTACAGTGTCTCATGATAGTGCGTCACACGTTAACTATATAGGTACAACACTTCCTTTGAGAATATGTTCGATCATGCAACTAAACTGTAGCCTAATGCATTTTTGCATTGCACCGATATTAGGTACCTGCCTATTACTGGATTGTTTGTTTTGTTTAGTTTTTTTCTCATTATTATTACGTTCTCCTCGTTAATTTCATTTATAATTTATTCATCTGGCAATAAAAAAGAATGGTATGATTTTCACGGTATACCGATTGGACGTGGTCTGTTGGATGCGAAACAGCGAACGAATAACTCACGAAACGAGCTCTGAGTGGGAGGCGCCACCTCGTGATTCGCAAAAACACCCACGCTCACCGCGATAGGTGTTAATGCGATTCTTGCGGACGACGTGTGCGCGCACTTGACTGTATGTCCATCCAGATCACTGCCGAGCTGAGCGTGTCCTGACGCCATGATCGCCGTACACATCACATGCCAGGTAATATTGTATGTTATTGACTTAAATTGGGGGTCGGCAACCCGCAGCTTCTATGGCAATTTTACGAGACTCGAGAATAAAAATTATAATTTAAATAATAACAGACATTGTGTATATTATAAAATCCACGAACCAAGAAAGTGCGGGCTAGAAACAACGGATCAAGAAATTGTTTGTTTGTAAACATAGTTAAAATAAACCTTACAATTACGAACTTCTATGGGGAAACTAAATTTGATTTGATTTTACATTTTTGTTTAAAATAAAACAAGAAATATTCAAACCGGGGCACGTGAAAAATGTTTTATTATATTTTGGCCCTCGACATCAAAAAGGTTGCCGACCCCCGACTTAAATCATTAATTGTTAATATTTAGCACTCAGACATTCGAATAATAATTATTATAATGCCCGGTCTCGTTCTGTCTCTTAATGAGTTGTCAAAGTTTCACCACGTTATAAATCGTACCAGTTATATGGATTCATATTATTACGAACGACTATATAGCTGTAGGGTACTAGGATACATAGATATAATGGCAGATATCTTCAAATAGCTCTAAATGTCTTCGGTCCGTTTAACATACTTGTAGTCAATAACCACCATATTATACAGGCGACATGGCATAAGTATATAAGTATATTCTATAAATATTTTACATAATATAACGATGCATGCAATTTGCCATTTTACGAAGATATTATTTTATTTTGCGTACGAGTTTAATACATATATAATAATATATGACCTCTAGATATCCGTGAATAATCGTTGAGTAGATTTTTTAATGGATTATAGAAAAAATGTGTATAATATTATATATGGTTTAATCGCATATTCGCATAAATCCACCTACTAAAACAATCATTCATCGGAAAATGTAAAAACCATATATAATATTATTTTCCGATGAATGATTGTTTTAGTAGGCGGATTTATGCGTATTTAATATATTTACACGTAGAGGTATTATGCACGTTACACAATTATAAAAAAAAATCTTGTATTTTATTACGATAGAACTGATGAAGCGTGTAATTCATTGACCTCTTTTAATGCTTTAATGGTCGATTTAATACTGAATAATGGCATAAAATTAAACAATAAATGTAAACAGTGTTTAGTCATAAGATTCTGTATTGTATGTTATGTAGGTACCTACTATTTGAAGAACCGTTCTCAATTTTAAGTTTTTTTCCATAGGTGTTTCAAGCGGCCACTATTGGAATTTTTTTGACATTGAACACTATTGTACCAGTTAAATCATCAAAACCAGACGAGAACTATAAACTTGAAGAGACATTCGAAAACATTCGTTCATCTATCGATTCAAAAGTTGCTGAAAATGGTCATTTCAAATCATTTTTATCCCCAGATGATAGGAGAAAATCGAATACCGATTTTTCTCAATTACAGGAAGACGTCGATGAACAGATGTCGGGTTTAGATTTTAATTTTGGCCAGAACGCTTATGACAAATTCCATTTGCCTCAACAACGACCTGTACAACCTAAATTTGTACTTAACTATGAACCATTAAGACCTTCAAATTATATATCAGCACCTTCTACGCGTTACACTGATTATCCATTCAGTATACCAGAACATCAAGATGATGGAGGTGATGGTGGAGATGGCGATGATGGTGGGGACGATGGGGGTGGTGGTGGTGGTGGTGGTGGTAGTGGTGGTGGGGGGAATGGGGGTAGCGGTGGTGGCAATAATGGAGGAGGGGGCGGAGGTGGAAGTGGTGGTGGTGGCAGTGGAGGGGGTGGGGGTGGTGGAAATGGCGGAGGAGGAAATGGTGGAGGTGGAAATGGCGGCCTTGGAGATGGTAACGATGGACGATTTATAGAACACCAATCTTTTGAGCAAGATTACGATAACTTTGAACCTCATAATGGTTGGAGACCTATTCATAATAAAATACAAGGATCAGATGAGAATCAGTTTAGGGTAAGGCCTTCAGTAAAAAAGGTCCCTGGTTACGGCACTAATCGAGGACCAGTGACTTCTAATAGTTACCAAAAACCATATAAACAACGATCGGTGTATAAAAAAAAGCAGCCACAACGATTTGTTGACGATCCATATACACGAAGATTAGTTGAAAATAAACGACCTTTAAAGGTATTTGATGATGATGATGATGATGTACAACCATTAAAGACTCGCGGAAAAAGCAGAAGACCTTTAAGGTTAAATGGAGAAAAAGGACGCTTGTCATATAATAATATACGCAATAATAAGCCAGCAACTGTTTTTGACGAAGACACAGAAGATGCTGACGAACCTAGGCCGTTACAATCAAGACGGTTTCCTACAAAAAAACGACAAGTGTGCCAGAAAATGAAAAAATCTATGACGCCAAACGATATAGAGGATCACGACATTATAGGAAGAAAAATGTCATGCATGGTGTGTAAAGACTTAGCTTCAGGTGGTTCATATGAAAAATGTTCATATACGTCAGACCCCATATCTGACGAATATTTTAAAGAACCAAAAGAGTTGAATAAATTAAAAAGAAATAGATTTAAGCGCAGAGTTGTGTATGACAGAAAAAGAAAGCAACCAGAAAGTGGTGAAGAAGTAGAGGACTATGAATATGACAATGTCAATGCTCAAGAATCTGAAGAAGATCCAGAGTATGTTCAAAATGCAGATGCTGTAGCCGATTACGATAGTGAAGATCCAGAAAATTACGAAACGGCTGAAAACGAAAGTGAAGAATATAGATTGCCACCATTGCCGATAAAATCTTCTACTTGTCGTAAAGTTATGAAAAAAGGGAACGTATGTAACGTGTGCCAAGACAATTTGACAAATAGACAGTATGAACAATGCGAATATGAAGATGATCCCAAAAAGAACGCTTATGAGTATTCCACACATAATGTGTACGATAAGCCTAGATACAAACGACAATTAGACAGTGACCGAACATACGATGATTACTTTAAAAAGCTGTTCCCGGAGCTTGGCTCAAACCGGAAGAGTGGTATAGCCACTAAGTTTTCGTCTAAGGATGGGGACTTTGGATTTTTAGACAACGGACAAATCGGTTTTAAGAAAACCAAATCCTTGTTGCTCGGTGATAAAGATTTATCGATTGATTTCAATTCAGGCGAATAAAGCCCAGTGAACAAGATGTTGGGTGATTTTCGTAACAAAGATCGGTCAAACTGCAAGAAATCGCTTAAAGATAAGATGACGTGTTACAAGTGCAAGGATGATACGGGTTCTGAGACAGAGGAATGCATGTACATAACAGATAGTGCGCCGAAAGACAGGAAACAGTCCTATCACGAAACAAAAAAATTCAACTCCAGCCCAGAAGTGGTAAAATCTACCGCAGATGTGGACAAATCTAACGAGAGTCACAAGCAACAGCAGCCGGCCTCATCATCGTTGACACACGTTTATGCTCCACTGTTTGGTTCTAGTTACGAGCCTTCGGCACAGTACTCGCACATTCGGCCACAGTATAAAAACAGAAATTATAGACTTCACAGGAAACCGGTGACCGAAGAAATCGCCGAGTCCACCGAAGACGATGACCAGTCTGAGGCGCAAAGCGTGGAGGAGTACGACTATGCGGACGATCCGAGTAGTCAACAGGTATCGAGACACGACTTGCCGGACGTAGATCCGTTTGGGCCCGAGGGAGCGTACAGCGAGGAAACAGTGCCAGTTTATGATCCCACATTGAGAACTTGGCTACCAAGGTATATGGTAATTAAGTCTTCGGAGGAAGCAATGGTAGACGCAGAACTAGGGTTCGATTAAAACGAAAACACGATGTAGGCAGGTAGGTACCTATATGCATCTTACTAACAATATTTTTGTTGTCAAATTAACATATTATAATATATTATATCTATTCACGAGTCAAAATATTATACTTATTATATATACTGGTGGTATGATAAGGGTATTACTTAATGGATCATTATTATTATTTGTTGTTGTTGTTATTGTTGTTATTATTATTATAAACGTGTATTGTATATCGAGATTCATATTGTATTTTTATACTATTATTCATATGTGCAATAATATTTATGTACCTTTATGTTATGTGTTATGTATTATTTGATTATTATACTAATAGTATTATTTGTAACTTATTTTATTAATTATGTTGTTTTAAATTAATATGTTTCCAATAAAATGTATTATGTTGTAGAATAAATCTTATTTTCTTTATCTGTAATATCCGATATTGCCCTTGAAAAATGAACAATAATTATTGATACGACATTAGGTGTATTTTGGTTTTAGAGTACTTACCTCAGTTCACGTGGCTTATCGGGGTCAGTGATGTACCCACCTCGGATTGCGGACTTATTCAACTAAGAAGTTAACCCACATGAGTTGGATTGCATAGTGGCGTGGCGCAAGGGTAATCGAGAGTTTCTGATTTTCTCGAGGGATAATGGGTGGGTGGTTAATAAGTGATAATGTAGTTAACTATAGTATCTTACTACTATTTTGGTAATAACTACGATAGGTAGTCACAAATATAACAGTGAATGCCTTTATAAGGGTTATTGGTACTGCAGGGTGGGTGAAATATTAGACTTGTCTCTTAAAATGTCAAGATCGCTACTCCACGCCACTAGATTTACAACTATTTTGGTTTAGGTATAATGCCGTTAACTTCATAAGCTAATCGTTTTAATAAGATAGGGTTAAACGCAGATTAGCCCAAGAAAATGAAAAATCTTAGGATGCGGCACTTGTTATTATTTATATTCTATAGTATATTTAGTAATTTACAAGGCGAAGTAATTGAAATAATATACATTAAAGGTTGTTGTGCTATCGTGGACGAAGTCGAAATCATACTAACTTAATCTCTAAATCTTTCCGAAATCTCTAAGAACAATCTCCTGAAATTTTCGTCAAAATCAGTCTAGTAGTGTTTGAGTACAACGTTGCCTTATTTAATAATATAATCTATAGGTATATTATAAATCAAAAAACAATAAAAAAATGACTGGAAAAACTACAATGCCAAATGTATGTACATATAATAGTTTATTTAGACTGGTAAGTGTAGAAAAGTTTAGAAAGAAGGTACAAAACAGTGATAAATACGTAGATGTAGGTTTATAACCAGGGCTCGGGACTTAAGCATTTGCTTATTTTTATGGATTGACTTAAAATGTAGCAGTGGACCTCTCATGTTTTTTTTTTTTTTGCTTTTTTCAGCGATCTTACAAAAAAATGCTTATTTCTGATTATCTCTGATTATTTTTGATTTTTTGACCAGTTTTTCTACTTTTTTGTGGTTTTCTCCTACAAAGTTGTTTTTGACAGGGATACGTCTATTATATGGGTAGATATCGAACGGTCATTTTCTACGTATAAAACAATATTATCGAACAACAGAAGGTCATTTGTATTTGAAAACCTCAGAAGACATTTGATCATTCAGTGCAATAATGACGATAAGATTTAATTAGTTAATTAACTTTTTTCAACTGTTTGTAAATACCGCTTACATTTTATTTTGCGAAAAATCTCTCTTAAAATCTATAAAAACCCTAAGCTCTTGAAAGTATAGTTTAATTTTTTTTGTGATATAAAGGTAAAGATTTATTTTTTATTTTTTTATTTTTTGAATAAATATTTTTGCTTAATATTAAGTTTTTTAAGAGTGCTTATAATGATGTTTTTAAGTGCTTTAAGTCCTGAAAACTGTTTATAACATATTACAATTAATGGTTAGGAGTATTTAAACATTAGCTGTAATAATTTATTGTTACTAATGAACAGCTAATAACTATATGTCTACACATTATTTTTATGGATTTTGAAATGTCAGTTAGAGTACAATAACAAAAATAAGCATTATCTATGTGTTGCAAGACTCAAGATTAAAACTTGTTGATAATGTAAGATATAAGTAGTTGCGGATAGGCCACTGAGGCCGATGCGGCCGATGTGTCGACATTTGTGAGAAATATTAAATCTTTACATTTGGGAAATGATACTAAGTGTAAAGTTAGATTTACTGTAATAAATTACTAGTTAATTTCTTTGTAATTAATTATAATCTATTAACTACCTACCTGTATGTGTATATCACTGTATATGATAAAATTACAACATCATAATTATTAATATTAAATAATTAAATAAACTTTAAAAAAAACAACAATATTATAATATTTCAAGGAACATGTTTGGGTTTTAGATACATGATTAGTTAAATAAGTTATAGTACTTGTTTATATAGTTGAATATTATGAAAGAAAACTGATAAAAATATTTTTTTTTTTTGTAAAATATACTGTAATATATTATTATAATGATTGTAAAATGAAATATTTGCAAGTGAAAATAATGATATTTAAACCCGTTATTACAACTATGATTTCCTTGATTAAATCGTCTGATTTGTTATATAACCAATTTTTGAAATCATAACATTTTAAATTATATAACAAATTACTTTGCCATAATTTTTTTTTTTTTGAAACAATAATACTAAAATAATGCATAGATCAATAATTATTAAGAGTAACACTTTTCGGATTTTTGATCTTAAAAATACTTATTATTCATACAAATAATTGTCAACCATTAAATAGTAATATTATAATCAGACTATTAATCGATTATGATAAAATATTTCACTAAACACTTTTGAGATTTTAAAATAATCATTGAGCCAGTTCAATTATGCAGCCTCATGACTTGTTTGTTAAAATTACTATTATTGTATTGAGTTAAAATTTTTATAAAATCCAAATCTATAATAATAATTATTTTCTCAATAATTCAAGAAAAATGTATATTTTCTTCAAAATTGTAGTGTGTTGTTGATGTAAGTATAATATTGTCCATCAATTTCTCATAAAATTGATTCATAGTTATTGTCACAATTTTCAGATAAAAGTTCGGAAAACTTGAAAAATGTGTTAGTTTGCTGTGTTTACATTGTCTGTGTTAAAATTTTAATGGATTAACTGCCCCGATTGTGATACATAAATTCTGTGGTAGCCGGCAGGCCCTACTATTATTATCCACAAATGAGGTAATTTATTTAAATAAACAAAAAGTAAAAAAAAACAAACGACGCATTATTCTAAAACCAATTTATTATGCATTCCTCATTTTGTTCTGAATGTGTAAATTATACATCACATCCGACGTCCGTGTTAAAAATATTAGTACAAACTGTGTTGTACCTATATTGTAAATAATAATTTAATTAATCACAAATAATTATGTCCGATTACAATATATTACAGAAATTATGCCTGAAATGCCCTTTTGTGTGTTTTTGAACTGTATTCAACAGATAACGTCTACATAATATCCACAAAGGCAATAAACAAGCATTTTTAGTCCTATAAAACATTAATTGATGTTAAAGTTTCTCATCATTGAAATAAACCAAATGTGCCACGCAAAGTACTCATGATGGAGGTTCCGTAATGTGATTTAAATACCTACACCCATGTGCACCTTCGATCTTCAGAGTGAAAATTAAAATAAAAAAAATTATGCTGCTGAATATTTATAATACAATGTAAGTATGATGTTTTTATCAATTTTAATTTATGTCCGTGTGACTAAATCGTCCGTATTTCGCCGATTTCATATCGAATAATATACTATACTATTACTACACTTGTGAATAAAGACTAAACGAATATGATTTATTATTTAAAATCAATGCTTTAATAAAAGTATTATACGTTTATATTATGATCAATGATCATTGATATAAGACTACAATACGATATTTACCGGCATATTATATTTAAGACCAAATTATTGTAATTATTTAGCTGTATCAGCGATAGACTGACTATTTCTGATACTGTAGTTATTTTTTTTTTAGGAATTTATAGGATTCTATGACAATAATAAAATGTGTTATGATATGTATAATATTATGTGAAGTCATCAACTTGAATAATTATGGCCGTCTGCCACCCGATCCAAGTATCTATATAATATATAGGTAATCAATTACGTTGCGTTTGTAAAAAATTTGAAATGTTTATCGTTCTCATTGTTACAATATTTAGCAAATATTATGACACAAACTCTCGAATATACTCGATGAGACATCGCTAACACAATACGTTGCATTTTTTTATTTTTCAACCGACCAAAGTCTTGTTTATAGCTAATTCTTAGTAACGGTACTATAATTATATTCTAGGCACGTGAAATATACACATTATACGACTTCTATCTATAACAAGGTTATATTGTTTTTACTATTACACTTTTGATTTGACTTCCATAAATTTCTTTCATTATTTTACTACAACATTGCAGTGGTGTGATTAAGTTATAATATTTTGAAACATATTATTATTATAAATGTATAATAATTGTATATACCTATATACCTAATATTCATTAGGACACGGGTCCAATGTATCAAACTTTCTCTGATCGATTTCAACGAAACGTTATAAAAACGTATATTTTATTATTATTATACATATTTACCTACACCCTACATGTGTTCGAGTGTACCGATAACCTAGGAGAGGTCACAATATCTTAGTCATCATTAATCACGCACGTACCCATAAACATATATATATATGGATTCACACACATACATACTACATAGTATATATATCACGGTAACTCAAGTACATTAATATCACCGATTGTTAAAGATCTTCGATTCATTCAACCGTGCGGTGTTGAACGAGAAACACATTATTTTCATTATAGGTACATTTTTTTCCCCCGTACAATAATTATTTAAAGTGATATAGTGAGGTGTGCAAATTATATTATAATTTTTTTCTTCAACACGGATTTAGATTTTCACCTAAAAATCGCCGACCCCAAAATGACGGCTTCGAGGAAACAGGATTTGCCTCACTTTGTGGCCATAAACAGGATCATGAAATTGCCGGTGGTATCGTCGGGCGTCAACAAAGCCACGTACATCTACGTAAAAGTTAAGGTAGGTACTTACCGCCATTATTGCTTATTGCCATAATAATCAGCGCTTGAATTAGG